TGAATAACACTGGACAAAGCGATCATTACAGAATAACACTTTCTTCTCATCTATTTCCGCCTGCCAAATCCTTCTCCAGATATCGCAAATAATGCTAATTTCTTATCGATCTACCATGGGTATGCCCATTAGGAAAAACATTGCCTAATAGCGCCACCTGCTGCGTGAGCTACTGTGCCATCTAGGTCTGCTATGATGGATCCCTAGTCGATATCTGGCTGGCTACCCCTTCCCCCATTTTGGGCCAAACAAGTCAGCATTTGATCAGCTGTCACTAAGTGACGCTTCTTGGCTTATAGAATGCCAGTTAGTTCCGGTTGGTGTCGCCACATAAACGCCAGCGACACAGCACGAGATGTTCGCCGCCATGGGGGACGCGTGTTATCACGAGGGACATTACTTGGATCAACACTACCGAAACGCACGAGTTATTTTCATACCTACCGGCAGAAGAAACGACACGATTGTGATGCGCAGAACTTTGATGAATAAGCCGCTTATACTGGCATACGATCCAGTAAAAATTATTGAATTGATTGACTAACTAGTAGTATATATGATGCACGTCTCCGGATGTGCCGAGTATTAGGCAGAAAGGGTGCATTCTAACTGCGTGGCAGACTTGCTAAGGAATCCAGCGAACCATTTATAGTCGCATCAATTCCTTGTAAAAATATCTGTTACAGTACAAAAAACTGAGATGTAATGTCCCTACTAGCGCAGTCTTAGTCATCATGTCCAGGGGTACTGCACTTGTACTAGTCATGTATGTTGTCAAGAAGCTGCTCTGATGTCCACATAACAAACACAGCGTGTAATTCATGCGTTCACTACGTGTAATTACATGTAATATTGGAAGCTATTCATGCTAGAGCGAGCCCTAGGCCACAGAGAGTATATGTGCCGCAAACATCATGTGCATAAGGTCCAGCGCTGAGAGACGCAGGGAGGGGAGAGGGAGAGGTTAGTAATCTCTTCATCTTTCAACAGCGGTCCTCTGAAGTGTTTACTTTCACGATGTTGCGCAAGGTCCAACGTCAAGCAAGCATTGGCCATTATTCTATGCGCGGTAGACGCTGGTCCAGGAATGACCTGCGTTGGCTCGAGCCAATGACCGCTGGCTAGCTAGCAGTCAAGGTGTTATAAGCTGGCCAGTACTTTACAGTGGGAGATGTAAAGGTTCACAACCTCGGGCCCGAAGAGCTTTGTGTCTATCCGTTGTAAGAACGACTGGCGCGGGGGACGTGTGTGTAATTACCGTGTTGTCGACGGCCGAGCGCCCCCTCTTGGGACTATCCGTCTTACCTACAATCGGCCGTGACGCGTGTGTGTGCGCGTGGGTGCGCGTGCGCGTGCGTGCGCGCTTGTGGGTGTGTGTGTGTGCGCGCGCTCGTGTGTGGGTGTGTGTGCTGACCCTTATTTGCTTTAGTTTTTAATCCATCTTGCCATCTTATTGGCTGTAAGGTTGTTACGTGGTCGCAGGACTGGATGTGCGCGGCCACATGTGTCAGCGCTGTGTTTGCGTAGGAAAGATAAAAGCCTTCCCCTCCAAGTGTCTGTGTTTATGGCCTCTGCTGGACACCAGTCTTTGTGCTTCTTATCTTGGACCGCATCGTGTCGTTGCGTTTGCTGAGGCCTGATTGCCCAAATCCTGATTTTCTTGGCGTAGCCGAATGATTTTCCCCCAATGCAACCTAATTAAATTTTTTCACACACTCATTACATATGGTGCTGCATGGAGTGTAATTATTCGCTCACCATGGGTGTGTTGATAGAAGATCAATCAAAATATCCCCCGATTATTCGTCGTCTTAGAAAACGGTACTATTCATGAAACATTAACAGGCTTTGAATCCAGTGTAAAGCCGTAGGGCGCGAATCTCGTAGCCAATATCTGCTAAACATCGGTCTCACCCCCTGGTGTCGGAGGAAATAATGGCGCGCTGCCAGTCGGTATTGGATGTCAGGCAGATTGCGCGAGAAGAGGGCTGACGTCTCAGCAGGATGCGACTATGATACCTCCCTACATCTGCATCTAGTTGTCGCAATGATGATCGCCTTGTACACGTGTACAGCGTGTCTGTGAACGCAGCCTGGCTGAATGTTCCTCCCGGCAGGGGAGGCTGAGCAGGGAGGCAGCCTGGCTGAGGTTCTTCCCGGTGTCATTAAAATGTCCTCAGTGGCCTGTAATCCTGGGCGACTGAACAACGATGCATGTACAGTTGGTGAACGAGGTGGCAGTCCGCCAGGACAGGGGAAAATGATAAAAGAAATTCCGGGTTGTTTGTGATCGCGATTTCTATGTGCTTGAAGTGAATTGCATGGCTGCTATAGTTGCTAGCTGGCGCCAATAGGTGCTTGTTGAGTCTTACCACTGTGATTTGGTGGCTACCTATAGTTAGCTAGTTTACGTAAAAATCCATTATCCAATGATCGTATTATATAGGAGCTAATGAAAACTTTTATTCACACCTAGTATATTTAAGTATATTTATTTATAAATGTATTCGTGTGTGTGTGAGCGTGCGTGCGTGCGTGTGGAGAGACGATTACGAGTAAGAGGGCGAGCTGGCGAGTGGAAGTTGCGTCGCTATGTACTAGTGGTGGTGTGGTCTCCCCCCTCTCTCTCTCTCTTTCTTTCTCTCTCTCTCCCCTCTCTCCCCCTCTCTCTCTCTCCCTCTCTCCACTCCCCCTCTCTGCGCCCCCGCATGCGTCGCTATGTACTTGTGGTGGTGTGGTGACTGTGGTCTCTCTCTCTCTCTCTCTCTCTCCCCCTCTCTCTCTTTCTCTCTCCACTCCCCCTCTCTGCACCCCCGCATGCGTCGCTATGTACTTGTGGTGGTGTGGTCTCTCTCTCTCTCTCTCTCTCTCTCTCTCTCTCTCTCCTTCTCTTTCTCACTCTCTCTCCCTCTCATTCTATCTTTCCCCATCTCTCCCCTTCTCCTCCTCTCTCTATCCACTGTACCTCTCTGCGCGCTCGCATGCTGTTCTCGCCAGGATGTGGCATTCACCACCTCTCCTCGATGGTTTCCTGTGTAGCACGCTTATTGCACGATGCGCGCGAGGAGAAAGTGATCCGAAAAACATGGCTTCCCCCGTGCGACGTGGCCGCCGCCAGGTTTTATTACTAAGATGTGATGATGGATGGCTTCTTAAGGAGCACCTACTTCTACGCTCGAGCTAGCATCCACGTGGCTCTTCCTCGTACCAACACTCGCAGAATTTTTGTCGGGAACGACTCTCGCTGCGGGGTTTCATCTATAGCGATGAGCCGGTTCCGCGATCTAAATATTTAATCACGTAATATTAATGTTAGTCGCGACGATTTTTTTCGGTTTGCGTAATTGATTTCGGGATATGTTTGTTTGACAAAGTGCCCATTTATATGTAGATTAATAATTGATCGTCCAATCATGCTGCCATAATGTCGAAGAATGGAGTCGGAAAACAACGCTTTTGACCTCAATTGAATTGCGTCTGTCCGAATGATGAATTAATTTTCATAGACATCCACGCGTGACTTGAACACATGAAAAGCATTGTGTTGCAGGCTTGCAGCACCACCTGTGGTTGTCAAGTGACAGTTTTGTGTGACCCGGGTGCTCTACCCATGTCAGTGTGCGTTTAATGGCATTTAGGTTTGCACACACATTAGTGGTACCGGTGTTAGAAGCCCATTAAATGTTATTGCTTTTAATGCGCGGAATGTACTGTGCATAATGGATTCTTCATTATTCGTGCATGAATTCACCCATTTGCTTCATTTCAGTAGCAGATGACCACTGGTCAATGTTCACCCATTATTCGTATGGTGTTAAGTGAAGCCATTGTCAAATAATTCACCAATATCACAGATAACACGAGATTAACATTAAATGATGTTTATGTTGTTTACGTTAAAACCGGGCGCAGTTAGGAAAATAGGGATTTCCGCTAGCCTTACAATGAATAACACTGGACAAAGCGATCATTACAGAATACACTTTCTTCTCATCTATTTCCCGCTCCAAATCCTCTCCAGATATCGCAAATAATGTAATTTCTTATCGATCTACCATGGGTATGCCATTAGGAAAAACATTGCTAATAGCGCACACTGTGCGTGAGCTACTGTGCCATCAGTCTGTATGAGGACCCCCTAGTCGATATCTGGCTGGCTACCCCTTCCCCCATTTTGGCCAACAAGTCAGATTTGATCAGCTGTCACTAAGTGACGTTTTGCTTATAGAATGCCAGTAGTCCTTGTGTCGCACATAACGAGCGACACACAAGATGTATCGCCGCATGGGGGACGTTTATACGAGAATTATTGATAAACTACCAACGACGATTATTTTTCATTACCTACGCAGAAGAAACGACAGATTTGTGATGCGCAGAACTTTGATGAGATGCGCTTATACGTGGATAGATCAGTAAAATTATTACATTGATTGATATACTAGTAGTTTATATGATGCACGTTCGATGTCGGAGTATTAGCCAGAAAGGGTGCATTCTAACTGCGTGGCAGACTTGCTAAGGAATCCAGCGAACCATTTATAGATCAATTTCCTGTAAAAATATCTGTTACAGTACAAACTGAGATGTAATGTTACCCTACTAGCGCAGTCTTAGTCATCATGGGTACTGCACTTGCTACTAGTCATGTATGTTGTCAAGAAGCTGCTCTGATGTCCCATAACAACACACGTGTAATCATGGTTCACTACGTGTAATTACATGTAATAATTAAGCATTCATGTAGAGTAGCCCTGGCACAGAGAGTATATGTGCCGCAACATCATTGCATAAGGTCCAGCGTGAGAGACCGAGGGAGGGGAGAGGGAGAGGGTTAGTAATCTCCTTCATCTTTCAACAGCGGTCCCTCTGAAGTGTTTACTTTCACCGATGTTGCGCAAGGCCAAACGGTCAAGCAAGCATTGCATATTCATGCGCGTAGACGCTGGTCCAGTGAATGACCTGCGTGGCTCGAGCCAATGACCGCTGCTAGCTAGCAGTCAAGTGTTATAAGCTGGCCAGTACTTTCAGTGGGCGATGTAAAGGTTCACAACCTCTCCCGAGAGCTTTGTGTCTATCCCGTGTAAGAACGTGTGTAATTACCGTGTTGTCTACGGGGCCGCTCTTGGACTATCCCTCTTCTACAATCGGCCGTGACGTCCGAATACGCCAGCGCGCGTGAGAGAGATTCTAAGAAGGGTGTGGATGAATATCGAACGTGTTTCGCACGCGCGTACAACATGTTTGAAGAAGGTCGGCGGTTTTTCGATGGGAAAAGTCGCAACATAGCAGCAGCGCGACAGCACTCACCCGTGAGGCGATCTCGTCTGCTGTTAGTTGAATCGGGACAGAGAGAGGCACGATTGTGTCGCGCGGGACCACCAACGATACGTACAGTCTATTTTTCGGAACCTGGAGCCGCGCGCAGAGTAAGTTGAGAACACGCCTTAAAATAACATAACATTTTATTTAAGTAATACGTTCGCGTTTAACCGTCGAGGGAAGGATACACGCGCGTGTTTGTACGTACGTACGTATGCATGTTTTGGGGGTGTGATGCCAGAGCGTAAATCCTTTAACTGCACTCACAATATTGATGCAGACTCGAGAACCCAGCCCGCAGCTGTTTAAGCGTGAAGCTCAACTGGTTGCGTCTGAAGACGGCGGCCGTTGTTGGTGCACCCACTCACTGCTGGTCGTGCCTTCGCAGCCATAGCGATTTCTACTTGTTTCACGCATGAAGCAATGCGCAGCTCTGAAAACGTTCCAGTGTTAGCTTAAAGTTTTATCTAGCGATTATTTCGCTATTAGCTGTAGCGCCGACGCATGATGAAATTTAAGAAGAACGCTTTTCACCCCGTGTTTTAATCTTGTTTTGGCTGAGAAAATGCTCGGTTATTAGATTTTCTCGTTATTCACGCGAGCGCGCGTTTACTTGGGAGAATGTGCAACTAGCTAATTGTATTTTTGCAAGGATATTAAATGAGTTGGTGGGGTTTCCTAAGTATTTACTCTGCTTTTGCATTCAGCTGTGCAACCCTAACCATAACCCAACCTTTGTGTGTTCCTGCGTGTGGCAGTTTCTAATGCAAACCTTATTTTCTCCAGTGCAGGTGTGTGATTTGTTTAGTCAGTGAGCGGTGAGCTAGCTACAGGTAATGTTGTGACCACTAACCTGCCTTGTAACCTGTTGCATACTTAAATCAAGGGGTGTGGTGGTTGAACTTTTAAAACTTCTTCCTGGCAATTCTGTAGTGTAAAGAACGGGCGGTTTGTCCCCACACCGCACTGTCTCTGAATATTAGGCCAATCGGGGGGGGGGGGGTTATAATCCTGCAGTCATAAACTCTTTGAGATTTCATTGTGAGAAGGTGCCGTTGTGGATTTTTATTGGAGGACTGTCCTAGTTGTCTGTGTACAGTGTAGCGTGTGGGATAGGAGTTGGTTGTGTGACCAGCATCAGCATGTAGGTGTGCGGGCGGGGGGGGGACTGGCCCGAGGGGGGGGGGACTGCCCAGCGCGAATGTCGCAGCGCACGGCAGAACAAAGCCGTGGATATAATTATCACCCAGTAATCAGATGAGGCAGCCATGTATGCGCACTAATTGACAGAAGGGTGTTAGAGTTGTAGGTAAAGTGACGAGACAAGCAGGGAATCGCTGCTGTGACCGTGCCCCCGTGATTGTGAATGGCCTTCGTCGGCAGGAGTAATTAAACTTCTACCGACTGCCCTGCTGCTTGAGATTGCCGTACAATAACCGCATAGTTTCGTTAGGCTGCGAAATCTCTGTCAGGATAGTTTAAGGTCAATATATAGACTGTCTCTGTTGAGACAGTGCGTGGTGTTGCTGCCTCTGTTGAGACAATGTGTGGTGTTGCTGCCTCTGTTGAGACAATGTGTGGTGTTGTATAGACTGCATATGCTGAGACAGTATGTAATTTTACGAGTTGAAGTACTTCGATACTAGTGTGCTGCTGCCTGGGTGCTGTGGTTGTGTCGTGTGTGCGTGTGCGTGCTGCGTGCTGCAGTGTGCGTGTGGCGTGTGCGTTGCGCGGTGCGCGTGCGCGCTGCGCGTTGCGTGTTGTGATGTAATGTGTGTGTGGGTGTGTGCCAACGGAGAGTGCGTGCGTGCGTGCGTGCGTGCGCTGCGCTGGTACGTGTTATATTTGCTCCATTTAATGATACACAGCACTTCATACACAGACGTGATACAGCAGACTGCGTTCTGCCTTTTGAGCGGGGGAGTGTTTTGGCGCCATTGCTGCCGCGGCTGTGAAGCCCATCCTGTACGACCGTAACTCCGCCAGGAAAACAGGAGCGATATCTCTCACTTGTCATCCCGGATAAAATAGCAAAAATCGCATTTGAGAAAGCCTTACTTCGTCATCGTCATCGCGTAATGCGGAAAGCATATACCCGTTGCTGTACACGCCTCCGGCATTTCTGCCTCCTCTACGCTCACCGTAACAGTTCAGCAATGGTGGTGTGGTGCGCTTATAAATAGAAGAATGAGGAACCCGTCATATTTGTTATTATTTATCAGCTTTGTGCTTTGACATTTTAGCCCTCACTTAGACATTCGCTCAGATGAAGCTATTGCTATGCGTCGTCGGTGCCGTCTGTACGTCCGTCCGTCCGTCCGTCCGTCCGTCCAACATTCTGGCTCGGTCATACGATTAACTCCAGAACCGTTTGACCCAACATGCTTGAAATCGGGTATATTAGGCTTACTGCTATTTGCATCCCATATTGAACGTCACTATTGTGAGCACGCCAGTCGCACGTATTTCGCAGCCACGGCAATGTCTTTTGGCAAAAAGGGCGAATTGCCATTAGGTCAGTTTCAGGCGTTCAACGGATTTTGCCTCGTTTTTGTTATCGTGAATAATAACGGCCTACGCGTTTTCAATATTTAAAAAAATTATAAAAATTAGGTTAGTGCTTTGGAATATATAGGCACATTATATAGAACACGCCCCAGATAAACAAACACGTCTGTCGGCTCGTCACAACTCGTCTGGTTCGTTTTACGTGCAAGATTTCATTGACAATATTCTTTAATGCAAAAATTGGCTATTCTCCACCCTGACGATAAAACTCATATTAGAGTAAAGCTTTTACACACAAAACATGATGTCGAACGCAGCATAATATATTTATTTCGAAACGCCATCGCTAAGAAACATCAAAGCGTATAGCGCCATCTACCGTCACAAATTGCTGATCATTATGGCTTGATAAATTATTATATGCGATATACAGCATGCTAACCGTGCCTATGCCGCCCTAGAAACATCACACGAAGTAAACACTTTTCATGCAACAATTAACCATGAGGAAACACCATCTGTCACGTGGTATATAGCAGCTACATGCGAATCAGCGTATCCTCTCAATCTTACACGTTCCACATATCCGAAAGCTCCGCTTTAGCAGTGCCTAAATCTGAATATCTATAAAAACGTAAATTCGCGCATCATTTAGGTGAACCGCCATCACCGCCCAGCATCTCAGACTTTCACATTTTCGAACATTTATTTCACATAAAAAAATACACATAATTATCAAAGAGTATATAATGGCGCAGTTCTCCACATATATACTCTTCCGTGTCTATTAATGTACGTCATGATTGCCCTCAATTAAAACTTTTCTCGCTCACTCATTTGTAGTCCTTTTTTGGGTGAGCTACAGTTGCTCATTGACACGTCATTTGTATTAACTTTATAATGTAACCATCTTCTAAAAAGTTAGCGTTGTAAAACACTCGTTACAATTTTACTGCTGTTCAACAAGATTTTACATTAATAAACTGGCATCTGCAGGCAGAAAGAGACTAAAGTATACCTAGATTGATATTACTAACGCGGCCAAAACTATGCTGCATCAGTGACGCAAGTGTGCTCATCAGGCTCGCCGCGCCATGCTCTCGCTGCGCATGAATGTTGGTACGCGTCGCCGCTGTTTCTTTCAGCGTCATTGTTTTTTTAAACTAAATCGTTAGCTGTGCAAATATTCTGGCTTGCCCGATAGTATTAGCTGTCGTGCCGTTTGTTTGACACACCAGAGTCAGGACTCCTGCTGTATGCCTCTGCTAATTAAACAACCCTCTGAGAAACAGACCAAGAGCGCTAAGATCTCCCCATTCACTCTGCCATAATTCTATTTGTACTGCTACGCGTAGATGAGATACACTGCGACTTTTGTTGTGTGTGTGTGTGTACGTGTGCTTTGTGTGTGCTGTCTGTGTGTTGTGTTTGTGTGTGGTTTGGTTGTCTTGTGTGTGTGTTCGCTGCGTGCCGTGCGCGCCGTGCGTGCCGTGCGTGCGTGCGTGCCGTGCGGGTGCGTGCGCGCCGCGCGGCACTCTTGTGGATCTGGCGTGTGCGCCACCCGTCGTGTGTGTGCGCGTGCGTGTGTCTGCGCGGTCCGTGCGCGCTTGTGGCTGTGTGTGTCGTCGCGCGCGCTTGTCTGTGGGTGTGTGCGACCCTTATTGCGTTTTTAATCCATCTTAGCCATCTTAATTGGCCTGTAAGTTGTTACTTACGTTTGCCCAGCACTGGATGTGCCGGCCACATGCTGTCAGCGCTGTCTTTGCGTAGGAAACCATCTAATAAGCCTTCCCTCCAAGTGTCTGTGTTTATGCCGCTTCTGGACACCAGTCTTTGGCCTTCTTACTCTTGACCGCATCGTGGCGTGCGTGTTGCGAGGCCTGATTGCCCAAGAAATTCGCTATTTTCTCTGCGCTAGCGAAATGATTTTCCCCCAATGCAACCTAATAAATTTTTTCACACACTCATTACATATGGTGCTGCATTGGAGTTAATTATTCGCCTCACCATGGGTGTCGTTGATAGCAAGCATCAATCAAAATATCCCCCGATTATTCTTCGTCTTAGAACACGTACTATCAATAGCAACGAATTTAACAGCTTTGCAATCCAGTGCGAAAGCCGTACCGGCCGCGCAATCTCGTAGCCAATATCTGCTAAACATCGGTTCTCACCCCCTGGCTTGTCGGAGGAAATAATGGCGCGCTCCAGTCGGTATTGATTGTCAGGCAGACTTGCGCGAGGAGCAGGGCTTGGACGTCTCAGCAGCGATGCGACCATGATACCTCCCTACATCTGCATCTAGTTGCGCAATGGGAGCAGCGTCTGCCTACACGTGTACAGCGTGTCTGTGCAAATCGCAGCGCTGCCTGAATGTTCCCCCCGGCAGGGCGAAGGCTGCAAGCACGCCGAGCGCCAGCCTGGCTTTGAGGCTTCTTCCCGGTGTCATTAAAATTTCCTCATGCCTGTAATCCTTGGCGGACGAACAACATGCATGTTACAGTTGCGTGAACGAGGTGGCCCAGTCGCCAGAACAGGGCGAAAAAATTGATAATAAAGAAATTCCGCTTGTTTGTGGATCCGATTTCTATGTGCTTGT